TTTCTTAAAGAACAAAAAGTAAATATTTTCGTTTAAATAAAAAAAACAACGTTTTCATTCATTCAATTCACCATTCATTTGAATTTCCGCTTTAGAAATGGTAACACTGTAGGCACCGGCAACAACTCAATCTTTTTATTCTGTGAACTCAATTTAGACCTTTCAAAATGAAATTTAGAAACGTCATTTTCTGACTTAAATTTATTATTTGGATATACCGGAATAGCAAACCACTTTGCTTAAACCTAAAATAAATTATTTTTAGGTTTGATTTAGGTTTAAGTTTGGTTTGCGGGAATCGACACCATTACCTTAATAAGACATAGTGAAGTGATGATTGCAGTGAAAGTTCATAACATATGTTTAGTATCTATTTATTTATCTCCCCCATCATCTCCAATTTTTAATGAAATAAATAACATGTTTTCATCTCTCCCTAAACCCTTTCTAGTACTAGGAGATTTTAACTGTCACCATCAAGCATGGGGATGTACAGTTACTAACAATTATGGTGAAAATTTGTTAGATATAATGGAATCACATAACTTATGCTTTTTGAATACAGGTTCCCCCACTCGCCTCACCAGTCCTAACCTTAATGCAAGTGCTGTGAACTTATCAATCTGTACTACAAATCTAGCTTCTTCATTATCTTGGCATACTCTTCCTTCTGCATATGGAAGTGACCATTTTCCTATTATTATATCTTTACCCTTTAAAAAGCCTCATAACATTAGATGGAAAACCACAAGAAGATATAATTTACCAGATAAAAAATCTAATGACTGGAATAAGTACAAATCTTCTGTTGAAAATAAATTATCATCTCTCCCTATTATCACTCCCGGTAATGAAAACAGTTGTGCAGAGGCATTAGCTAGTATTTTAAATGAAGCTGCCATAGAATTGTTTCCTATTAAAAATAACACCCGCATGAAAATACCATCTCCTCCTTGGTGGGACAAGGATTGCTCTGAGGCTGTGAGGAAGAGAAAGCAGGCAGAAATCATGTACAATACTAATATGACAGAATTTAACTATGATAACTTAAGTAAAGTAGTTGCAGAAACTAAAAAAATATTTAAAAAGAAAAAATTCGAAAATTGGAGAAATTTTTGCAGTTCTATTTCACCAGACACGCCCGCTACCCTGGTCTGGCGTAACATAAAAAGATTTAAATCCGCCTATAATACTTCCTCTCCTGTCACTATGCCTCCTGCAATAGTTAACGATTATATGGAGAAATTGGCCCCACCGTGGACTCCCATTCCCATGCTCAACACTTCACAGGTTTTACAATCGAGTAGTAGCTCTGGATTGAATCGTCCTTTCTCCCTTCAAGAACTTAAGAGTGCTGTTTTCGACTATAAAGATTCTGCCCCTGGGGCAGACGGAATTCCGTATTCGTTTTTCGCAAATGTTAGTGATAACATCTTAACCTGTTACTTGCAACTTATCAACACTATCATGATAACAGGTGACATACCTCTGTCATGGAAGTCACAAATAGAATAAATAGAAGTCACATGCATTTTCATACCGTCCAATAGTTTTAGCAACTGTTTTAATTAAACTAGCTGAACTTTTGATAAAAAATCGCCTTGAATGGTATTTAGAAAGCAGAGGCATGCTATCCAAAACACAATACGGATTCAGAAAAGGAAAAAGTACAATGGACAATTTAAGTATTTTATCAACTGACATTCGTCTGGCTTTCACATATAACGAATCCGTAGTAGCAGCATTTTTGGATATAAATTCTGCATATGATCACGTATTATTATCAGTTTTGAAAAGTAAACTAGAGATACTAGAGGTTCCTCAAATGTTAACAAATTTTATTATGAATATACTAGCCGAACGAAAATTAATAATTAGCTTACCGATTAGTCTTGAAATACAAAGAACTGTATGGAGAGGCTTGCCCCAGGGATCAGTTCTTAGTCCTTTACAGTGTATATACTCACGATTTTGACACTTTATTTGAAAATAATATTAAGTTGTTGCAATACGCTGATGATTTATTGATTTATTCTACAAACCGTCACATAGATAATTCTTCTTTGCATATTAACTCAGCTTTACGTTCTTTGAGTTCTTGGATGAACGATAACGGTCTAGAATTATCTGCTTCAAAGAGTACTATTGTAATATTCTCACGAAAGAAGAATCCCCCTCCCGTTAGAATTTATTATAATAATATATTAATTCCCATTGAACCCCAAGTAAAATTTCTGGGAGTCATGTTGGATTCCAAACTTACCGGTATTGCATATTGTGATTTTATTATAAGTAAAACTGAACGACTTTTAAATCTTCTCTGATGTCTTTCAGGAGTTTGGTGGGGGGCCCATCCGCAATCCTTAAAACTAGTGTATAATGCATTAATCCGAAGTGTACTGGACTACGGAAGTTTTCTCCTAGAACCTGCCAATTCTACTGCACTGAAAAAGCTAGATAACGTTCAGTCGAAAGCGTTACGAATAATAACTGGTGCTATGAGATCCAGCCCAATTAATGCATTGCAAATTGAAACTTGTGAACCCCCACATAACATTAGACGACAACTTCTAGCTGACAGATATCTATTCCGTTTACTTCAATTTTCCAACCATCCTCTTATAAATCTACTTTGTTCTTTGAATGAAGAAATAACATCAGCAAGTTACTGGGCACATAAATCTCTCCCATGTTTGATAGTTAGTTATCGAAAGTATATAAGTATACAATCACCTATACACCGATCAAACCATCTTCCCATTTTTACTATTGATTATGATGCCTTAGAAATAGCACCAACTATTCAATATGATTTAATTAATAAAAACCATGCACACCCAAGTATAACCTTTAAATCAATTATAGATACTGAATATGACGACTTTCATCATATATTCACTGATGCTTCTAAGTCATCTCCGTCTGAGTGTACAGGTGTAGGTGTATTCCACTCTCAGTTTTCTATTGTCAAAAAAACTAAACTTCCTCCGGAGACATCTGTTTTTACCGGAGAATGTATTGGTTTATTAAAGGCTGTTGAATATATCTTTGTTATGAAACTGCGAAAAACTGTAATATTTTCCGATTCAATGAGTGCTCTTCAAGCCCTAAATAAATTCCCTTTCCGTACTAAATCATATTTTCCTGTAATATTTGAGATAAGGAATTTTCTAAATAAATTCATGAAAATGGGATACATGGTAGTTTGCATGGCTCCCGAGTCACAGTGGAATTCAGGGAAATGAAAAATCCGACCAGTTAGCCAAAGAGGCAGTGCATTGTGGTGACGTGGTTTAGTGCTTTGCACCGGAGACAAATTTCAGCTCCGGTTTTTTAGAACAGGCTTTGTAGAAAAACCGGAGAATCTCCGGAGAAATGTATTTTTTGTGTCCTTCTACATGAGGTGTTTTTAAAATAATCGACGAAACTTCTGAAAGTGGTTCTACTCGTGTATACAAACAACTTTTACTATCCTAGGGCCAACTTTTTATCTCAACAAAAAAAAACTGCTGTTCCATACCTACATTTTGAGGTTGAGTAGGAATTGACAGTGTGTATGGAACAGTAGTTTTTTTTTGTTACCTAATAAAACTTAATAAAAGGTGATCTGCAAGGAAGGGAATTTTTTTCGTTGCCTATGACTGCAAGTTATCGAAATAAAAGAGACAAAAATTTAAAAATATTTGACATGTAATATTTAAAAAATTTAACATAAATTAAAATTCTTTCCTATCAACATAATTAAACCTTAAAAGAAATAGTAACAGAAACATCAACATTAATTCAAATTTAAGAGAAATAGGAACACGAACAAATTTGGGAGCTTAAAACAATAAATAAAAAAGAATCTACAAAAGAAATTATTAACTAATCGAGCAACCACTGATTTTGGTTTAAAAAGCAGAGCATTTCCACTGCTTCGGACGTTAGTGAGCTGCGCCTATCGTTTATTATATAACCTGTTGCCGAGAAAACTCTCTCAGAAGGAACTGATGTGGCAGGAATGGACAAATATTTTTGTGCGATGACATCCATAGGTTTCAAATGATGAAAATGCATCCAAAAATCTTTCACGACATTGCTTGTGTGCTCTCCAACAAAGCGTGTTTCAGCATACATTTTTATTAAGTTAATAGCAGTGGCGTCAGTTTGCGAGCGAGTTGGCGCTTCTTTCTTTTGTAAATATTTGAAGAGCTGCGGTAATTCATCTGCTGCGGATGCGGATGCTTCGTATTGCAACGAAGAAGGGCCACTTTGAGAAAGCTCATCATCTACAACATTTTGAGAACGAAATTTGTTTTTTAACTCTGCTCTGACTGCATCCTTTGCAGCTTGTTTATTTTCAAATTGTCGAAATGAATCACGAAAATATGGGTGCAGCTATGTTGCTATTCTGCATGCAGTTCGTGTTTCATATTCCAGCAATCGAGCCGATGTGTTTTCACGTATTCTCAAGAAAAGCCCATTTCCTTCAGTTGTTTTAATATTTTCTTGAATTTCGGTAAAATTCTCATAAAACCCGCGAATTATGGGGATGATAAGTGAACAAGTTGAGTATTGGTCGCTACTGATCATTTTTGTAGCTTGTTCAAAAATGTTCAAAATAACCACAGCGTCTTTGAGCATGTTTTCCTCATCTACACTTAATACATCGGGAGCTTGCGGATATCTTCTTTGGACGATAGGCAAATATTCACTGAGCTCCAAAATCCTTTTAATCATATAAAAGCAGCTATTCCATCTCGTTGGAACTTCTTGTAAAAGTTTCAGAGGAGTTTTTTCAGGGTTTCGTATCATTTGTTCATTTTTAGGGCTTGTGCGCCCACTGTTGATTTTCGAAAAAATTTAACAATATTTTTACATTTCTTCGTCAATTCCTGCATGGGAAGATAATCTAAAGACTCTTGCACAACCAAGTTCATAGTATGTGCAAAACAAGGCATGTGGCGGATTCCTAACATTCTACACATTTTTATCATGTTAGCTGCATTGTCGGTTACCATGGCAATAATTTTATCTTCTATGCCCCATTCCGAAGAAATTGCCTTAATTTTTTCAGCAAGATTTTCAGCGGTGTGCGATTCTGGCATAGCGGTTGTGGTCAAAACGCAGCTGCGCAAAAGTCCGTTATAAAAAAAATGAGCAGTAACTGTGAGGAACGCCTCCATGTTCCTGCTCATCCACAAGTCACTGGTAAGTGATAAATTGTCTATCTCATTCAAAATGTCTTTTAATTTGGCACTTGCTGATTTGTAAAGTCTGGCCATTATTTCATAACGTATCTTTCGCTTGTCAGGAATTTTGTAGTCTGGGCAAAGAGCTTCTACAAAATTCTTAAAACCAGAATCTTCCACCACGGAAAAAGGCTGGAAGTCAGTCGCTATCATCAAGGTAAGCTTCTCGTCAATTTTTACAACATTTTTTTTACTGAACGTATTTACCTGTAATGTCGATTGCTTTAAGGTTACTGTAGTGGACGACGATGGCATTGAATGTGATACTGGATGTGGGTTAATAGAAACAGCTTTGTTTGTAGTGTCTTGGTTAATTTGGGGATGCATTCTGGTTAAATGTGCAAGCATATTCGATGTTCCTCCTCCTGTAACACTTAATATTTTTTGACATAGCTTACACTTAACTTTTGCGTCATCAACTTTGTCAAAATGATCTTTAGTTTTTGATTTAACTTTCGGCATCCTAAAACAATAGATAAAATGTATTAAAACCTTTATGTTACACAACATGCAATGTCAATGATCCATTAATGAATTCAATTCTTCCTAATCTCCAAAATGTAGAAAAAGGATAAAGTACTTGCCTGAAACAACTCGGCGACACCTTAAAAACAATTTACAAAAGACGAGCACTCCAACAGCATGCACATAAACAAAGCTTACTCACTTAAAATCCTCTTAAACTCGAATCCAAAGCACGACTAAAATCAACTTAACTCAAGATTTGCCGTCAAGTACGAACATATGGTAAAGGTAAAGGGGAATCCCCAACCAAAATTCATGATTGTCTATGGGCAAATTGAGTAGACACCGGTTGCTTGTAATGTTTCCACATTGGCTAACATTGTGGCCAATGTTGTGGCCACAATGTTGACCAAGAGTTTGTGATGACTGAATTTATTAACATGGGTTTTAAAGCGATAACTGTTGCTGCAGTTTCTTTCAAGCACATCGTAATTATACGAATGTTTAAAACAAGATGACCAAAAATAAATGTTACAATAAATAAAAAACTTAACTAGTTACCACAAATATTTATCTTTTATTATTTCTTATTGATTGAGTAATAAATTATTTATTATTGGAAAAGCACCCCTCGAGGCATAATAAAAACCGGTTTTTTCCGGTTTTTACAATCTCCGGTTTTGTACCGGTTTTTCTAGAACCGGAGCAAAGCACTAACGTGGTTCCTTATAAATGTTATAGCCAGGACTTGCTATCTCTACCATTGTGCGATTTGCGAAGTGAATGGCTTACAAGTTGGACAAGTAGTGCACAAATAAAAGGAAAATACTATTTTACAATACAACGTACTATTCCTTTAAAGCCATGGTTTCGTAAAGCTAAACTTGGTAAGACTGCTACTAGCATATTAACGCGCATGAGACTTGGACATGTTACTACACCAGTACATCTCTCTAAGCTTGGAATTGTCAGCGATCCTGCTTGCGGGTGCGGAATGGACACAGGGGATCTTAACCACATCCTGTTTTCCTGCCCTCTATAAAATCGATATATTTTTTTAAATGGCCTCATTTCTTTAGATGTTCCTTTTCCAACATTCGTAATAACCCTACTCTTCTCTAATAATTTACAGATTTATAAATGTATAGCATCTTTCATAATGTTAAATAATATTAGAGTGTAATCATCTCTATTCGTACTTTATGTATGTATATTTATATAAATATACCAATTCTGTCTCCTGATCCTATCCTCTAAATTCCGATCCAAAATGCATAAATTTCCTACTAATGTTTCCCTACCTTTGACACTGGCAATGCACAAATCGTGTCGTGCCATTAAAAAAAAAATAAGAAGGGCGCGGGAAAGCTTGAAAGTTAAAGGCGATCTTTTGCGAAATTAAAATATTTTTTATATTTTATTGTTATAAAACACTTAAAAGTTGTCTGAAGAATACTGTTTCAACTCTGCTGACATGGGCAGAGTTAAATCTAAAAAGCGGAAACGAAAACCTGGTGGTGATGGGGATAATCCTGTCGACGAAGATGCTGCTTCGAGCTCCGGTTCTACATCTTCCGAAAATCTTTCTGGATTCGACGAAATAGATCAAGAATCTCCTACAGTGAAGTACAAACCCTTTGTATTACCGCATTATGTCCGGTCCTACTCAGAAAACGCAGGTGGTACAGAGTTTATAGTTTTCATATCAAGTACTGATGATGCTAGACCAGTAGGCAATAGAGACCTTATGTATCTGTCCAACATATTCCAAAGAAATATGAAGGGGATTAAACAATTTAAAAGAAATAATAAATTCAAGTTTGGAATTATTTTTGACAAACCAACTATGGCTAATGCAGCACTCCAGAATAAAGATTTTTTCAAACAGCACAGATTACAAGCCAGTATTCCAGCTTCTGCATCTGAGCAAATTGGGGTAATAACGAGCGTACCTATTGATTATAGCAATGCTAAATTATATAAACATTTAACTTGTTCAAAAAAAATTATATCTATTCGTAGGTTTATGCGTAAAGAACGATAGTGGTGCAACTACATTGCAACCGACGCAAACAATCTCAATTACATTCGCACCAACCACATTGCCAGAATCAGTAGAATTAAACTCATGGCTTTTTCCCGTGAAAAAATATGTTCCTCCAATAAAACAATGCTTTAATTGTTTATTATATGGTCATACAGCTGCATTTTGCAAAAATGCCACAAAATGCTCGAAATGTGCAGGTAGTCATAACTATAGAGAATGTGATAGTCAAATACTTAGCTGCTTTCATTGCAAAGGTAGCCATATAGCCATAGATAGTAACTGTCCTATAAAAAAGCAAAAAATTATTGAAAATAAAAGAAAAATTAATAATCCAGTACCATATATTGACATCTTAAATACTAAGCAGTTTCCTGCATTACATAGTAAAAAACAAAATGACAATGAACATGACTTCACCAAATTGTTGATAAATGACCATATTGTAAATATTCTTGTACAAAGTCTAATTAAAATTAAGGCAAGCGGTGTAACAAATTCCAGTAACATTAAAGAAGCTCTTAGAGAAGTAGTAACATCATACAAAATTAAATAATGGCTTTAAGGGTTATCCAGTGGAATGCTCAGAGCATATTATGCAATAAAAATTGTCTTACTCATTTTTTATATGAACAAGACATTCATGTAGCATTATTATGTGAAACATGGTTGAGACCCGAATTAAATTTTACTATAAGAGGCTACACAGTAGCCAGGTTGGACTCTGGTAATAGATACAATGGTGTTGCAATTGTCATAAGAAATGATATCCCCTTTCAGACAATAGATACTACATTTGATAACTCTATTCAAAACATAGCTATTCAAGAAGATTCCATAATACAGATCTTTCCATAGTAAGTATTTATTGTCCTCCTTATAGTACACCTAGTTTTTGTAAAAATAAATTAGATAATTTAATAAAGCTGATCCCTGAGCCAATGATAGTTGCTGGTGATTTTAATGCCCACAATACCTTGTGGGGGTGCAAGCCACTCAACTGATAACCGTGGTAGAGACATTAGTGACATAGTTAACACAATGATTTATTTCTATTAAATGATGGCAGGGCCACAACAGTAGGTTCTGCTAGTTGGAGGCCAAGTGCTATAGATCTCACTATTGTTTCTTCTTCCATTGCTCTTGCGTGCAATTGGGAAGTCCATGATGATCCTCTTGGAAGTTATCACCTCCCTGTTATGACAGAAATATCACTACAATCACATTCCTATGCAAACTCATCATCTAACATTCCAATTCATTATAATCTCAAGTTAATAGACTGGAAAAAATATTCAATTATAGTAAATCAGAAGCTCCAATCTTTTAACATAATGGATAATGTCATTGACTCATATAACAGTTTCTGTGGTGTACTACATGAAGCAGTTGCTGAATCAAGTCCTCAAAGACCCATATCTGGGTCAAACAATAGATTACCTCATAAAAAGCCTAAGTTAACAGTTCCATGGTGGAACATCACATGTAGTGAGGCAGTGAAAGCTTCAAAGCAAGCATATACTTTATTTAAATCCAACTCTACACCAGAAAATTATGTAAATTTCAAAAGGTTACAAGCACGTAAAAAAATGATCCTTAAATTTGAGCAAAATAAAGTTGGCAGTCTTTGTGAATCTTTTAATAGAAATTAAGTTTATATGGCAATATATGAGAAAATTTAATAGTACTTCTCCTGGTAGCAAAAGCTTTTCAGATAAGTGGGTCACCCCCTTTCTAAACAAGTATACCCAAGACTTCTCCTTTTGTATTACTAGGGCATAAATTAAATGACACCAATAACTTTATTGTAAACCCTTTTTCTTTGCAAGAACTTCAAAGTGGCTTAAAATCTCGTAAAAATACTGCATGTGGACTAGATTGGATATCTTATCGCATGCTTAAGGAACTAAATGATAGTTCACTTCAAACCTTTTTATATATCCTCAATTCATTATGGATCCACAATGAAATTCCTGATTCTTGGAAAACTGATTGTATAGTCCCTATCTTGAAACCAAACAAGAAACCAGGTTTAGTTGATTCATACCGCCCCATAGTCTTATCTTCATGTGTTGGTAAGATATTTGAACAGTTGCTTAAACAGAGACTAGAGTTCTATATAGAGAAATATGGAATTTTACCTGACAACCAATTTGGATTCAGGAGAGGGAAATCCACTCGGGATAGTATAAGTCATCTTCATCTGGATATTCTGAAAGCTTTCTCAGATGACAAAGCACTTCTTTGTGTCTTCTTTGATATAGTTGGTGCTTTTAACAACATTAACCACCAAGTTTTATGTTCGGAACTAAATTCCATTGGATTACCTGCAAAAGTCATAAATTGGATTTTTAATTTCATAAATGGTAGAAAAGTTTTTGTTAAATATAATTCTAAGCTATACGGTCCTAAATACTCATTTAAAGGTAGTGGTCAAGGTAGCATTTTAAGTCCTCTTTTTTTCATTTTGTATATAAGAAAGCTTAATATAATCTTAGGAACTAGTGTATATAATTTGCAGTTTGCTGATGATTTAGCTATTTACTGTAGCTCTAACAGTATTCAGGAATCAGTTGATAAATTGAACCACACAATAACAAGACTTAAATCATACTTTGATTCACTACATTTGAAAATTAGCCCAGAAAAAAGTAAAGTAGTTGTTTTTAGCAAAAGAAAATGTTCAGTAAATGTAAATATTATATATGATAATTCAATTTTGCCTGTTGTAAATAATGTTAAGTTTTTAGGGGTGATATTTAGTAGTAATTTGTCTTTCAAGTCCTATATTTTAAATATAATTGATCGTGCTAATAGA